CCTACCTACCTACCTACCTACCTATATTATCGTTTTCATCATATAAGACATGTATTTTACTGCTATGTATAGATTTATGTATAAAACAAACAAAAAAATCCACAACATAACAATATTTCATTGTTATACAATTGTTACTGTTTCTAGCTATTACGCTTTGACAATACCTGTAAATGTTGAGGTCATGTTAATAAAGCAATTCCACTATACCTACCTACCTACCTACCTACCTACCTACCTACCTACCTATCTACCTACTAATTATATAATTATATAATTATCTGCCTAAATATAACTACCTCAGAACTCAACAATAAGTTACTTAAAAAGAGAGTCAAATATAAAGCTCCTATAGCTAGAAGAGCTCTTTCAGCATGATCTTTTTCTTTACAGGTCGATGTATATAGCTTTGGAGTTCTGTTATGGGAGATGAACACTGGTGAACTGCCCGATAAAAAACGCAAAGACCAGCAAATAGCAAGGCTGTCTTCGGATTATGAAAGTATCGTTACACGGTGTTTGCGGGAAGATCCTGAAAAACGCCCTTCTATGGCGAAAATCATAGAGAAAATTAAAACACTTCTGTGAATGAACTACTCAAGCCTGCTTAGGATTTGCTGCAGCTGGTACGTAGAAATAACTTTAATTCTGATTGGCTCAGAAAACTGGTAGCCAACATCACTTCGTTGTGCGGACTGAAAAAAGTGGGTTCATGTACTACTACTGCACCAAACACCCAGCTGAGTTTTAAAATAATTGAGGGAGCTGATGGTTCTCTTGACAAATACGGAGTACCTAGTACATGAATTGTAGCGGATATAGAGGGAGGTCACGTGATGCCCGTGCACCTCCTTTCCAGCTCAGAATTGATCGGTTGGTATAAACATTTAAAAAATATAGTTAATTGAAAGCCGCATCTTCGTTCTTGATCTTGTGAATCTCTCCCTACTCAAAATCCTAGATCTGTCCGTCGTACTTATAGCCACGTTGATGGTTGGACTGAATAATTTGGAGTCCTCAAGTCAAAGACGTCACGTTGCTCGGCTGGAAAACCACAGTTCTGGGTTCTAAACAAACGCCTTGTTTGGCGTCACTTTCGCCAATACATTTTTTGTTCGATTTTTCTTGAGAAGAGAAGAATGTTCTTAGATGGATCAGAGAATGTCATGATGAAGCAACCTACCTTTTAAAGGGGTTCGTATTTGTAAGTTAAAGGTTTTTATTTCCGATAAGGGTGCAGAACGAATCCCCAACTCCTGGCTCTGCTCCCGGTTAAGGGTGACAAATATAATAGATTATGAATGGATTGTGTATGCCACTGAGCACTGAAGAAAGCTGCAATCTGACCGCGGATTCAAATTTTGAGCAATAATTAACAGCAAACATAATTAACAGTAAAAACATTTATTGAGTGTCTATACAAAGAAATGATGCAAGACAAGAAGCTTTTATACATGTACTCAGTCTCCTAAGTTGTACTTCTAGTCGTTTTATTTTTACATGTAAGCGCATCTTAGATTTTTGACACCAATTCAGGGCTCAAAACTCTTTTACAATAAAAATCACCTTTAATTTTTTAGTGTTATTAAGCATATATTTTAATGCGCATTATAATTAACTCAGTCTCCTAAGTTGTACTCCTAGTTTGTTTTTAAAACTACTACTTGTAAACGTATCTTAGATTTTTGATTTCAATTGGCTCGAAAACTCTTACTACGAAAATGAACTTTAATTTGTTATATCTTTTTGTGTACATATTAATTAACTTTGTTTACAATGCCTCAAGACCTTTAAAATGACTGTGAACCATCGAAATTATTTGTAACCTTTTCGTTACTCGGGGCTTACCATTGATCATTTGAGAAAGGACTTTCTCAATACCATTTTGACCTTCCCATTGGTATGCATGCTCCAAATCGCAATACCGCAATCCAGACCCTGCGATCTTTTTCTTCATATTTTCTGAAATACAAAGTGGATTCAAGGTTTTCATATTTTCACTCCTTTCCCGCGCATACTCAACATATGCAATTGCATATGCAAGGCTAAAGCTTGCATCCTTGAACTGATTATCTTCGATATTTGTGCTTGTTTTATCAAGCAATTCCTTAAGAGCTCTGACATCTTCAAGTGCGTCATGATCCCTTTCATATTCGTACTGAGGAATCTTTTTTTCCACCAAGCTTTTAAGAGATGGTTTGTTATCCATAGAGAAATGGTTCTTAAACAGAATGAGAGTGTCGATGAAGCCAACGACATTGGCTTTAAAATCTTCTAATAAATCATGTTCCTGTAAATGCAATATAAGACGAGGGCAATCAAATATCTTGCCATTATGAGCAACAAGAACGAGCCTGTTATTTAACTTTTGTAGCCAGCGTACAAACTTCTGAAGAGCTTCTTTGGCTGAACTCTCAGCATTGACTGGCTTCCCGTCGAAACAAAGTTTTCCTTCGCTCATTGAAAAATGGCGTCCTTCCGGGCGGAATCTTATCGGTCTCTGAGGAATAATATAGCTATTAAATTCGTTCTCTCCGCAAGCAGCAGACAGTTGGATGATGTCTGTTTCGTACATATCTGAAACAAACAGTGCAAGAAGTGAGCGTTACAATTTATTGCAGGGAAACGAGGGCAGGTGTGCCGCCAATCAACCGCCTCCCATTTGTCGCGCGTGGGTTTAACCCTCATCAGTTGGAGTAGAAATGCTTGGACACGCACCGAGTCGCACTTGCTAACTCACTGGGAGATGTTCCTAACGCTTTAGGGTGCCTTGCCCTGTGCTTGGTGTGGTTTTCCCCAAGGTCTTCAGTTTTGCAATCAATGCATTGAAATCCCAATTCTTTTGCTTATATTTGAATAGAATGAAAAATTCCAGTTTGTTAGCTTGAGACGAGAATATTCTCTTGGTTGAGACTATCAAGGGTATTGTTTTTAGCTCTCGAAAACATTTTTGATCTCTTAAAAATTTTATAATCATACTATACACAAATGTAAACTGTGCACCGAACATGAATGATTCTCAATTTGCTAGAATACCCGCGAAAACTTACATTCATTTGTTGTTTCAATATCAAACACTACATGAATTAGCGACTTCGTGTTATGTAGACGCTCGCCTTCCGGCTCCTGCGTAGCAGGTGGGATTCTTTCCAAAAGGTTGGATTTTTCGTATACGACTTGTGAACTTTGACCAGTTGCAGCAGTTTGTTGTGGAGGGGTAATCTCTCGTAAGGCCATTCTTCTTGACATGTAAATATGCTCTGTTATAACGTTAGCAGCACTCATTAGTAACTATACATATATGTGAGAACTAAACAAGAATTTTGGGTTAGCCTTTTTACGCGTGGTATAACTTTAATTTAAATCAACATTTTAATATATTGGAATCAAGGTGATATATGTTCGTGGATGAGTGTGAGTGAGGATGTATGTGTGCGTGGATGAGTGTGAGTGATGATGTATGGGCGCGTGGATGAGTGTGAGTGATGATGTATGGGTACGTGGATGAGTGTGAGTGAGGATGTATGGGTACGTGGATGAGTGTGAGTAAGGATGTATGGGTGCGTGGATGCGTGTGAGTGAGGATGTATGTGTACGTGGATGAGTGTGAGTGATGATGTATGTGTACGTGGATGAGTGTGAGTGATGATGTATGTGTACGTGGATGAGTGTGAGTGATGATGTATGGGTACGTGGATGAGTGTGAGTGAGGATGTATGTGTACGTGGATGAGTGTGAGTGAGGATGTATGTATGCGTGGATGAGTGTGAGTGAGGATGTATGGGTATGTGGATGCGTGTGAGTGAGGATGTATCGGTAAGTAGAAGTGTGTGCACGTGCGTGATCTATGTATGGGGCAGACAACTTTCTAGGTAGCAAAATGTACAGGTGTCTGAATATTGGTAGCTAGCTTTACTTTACCACACCTACCTAGAACCAAGGTATCGAAAAATAAAATGGCTGTCTTCTCTTACCTTCTGTTCTTGCTCCTTATACCAGTTGCCCTGTTCTTTTCTCGTCTTCTTACCTTGCTCCTTGTTCTATCTTTACCTCATCAATGCTGGAAGTGAATGACAAATGTTTTAGATCCGACCTCTATTTATACTTGGTTGAAGCTCCGCCCTAGACAGCTAGTCTCATCAACTCCATGCGATTGGCTGAGCCAGTATCTACCGGATGTCACTGCATCACATAACACTTGAACCTTGGACCCGACGCGGAATTTTTGACATTTTTTCTCTGTTTTCAATTGTTCATTTTACTTGACCTTACCTAATTTGGTCTTTCTTTTTCTTATTCAATGTAACAGACGTCATTCTATCGTTTGACACTTGAACCTTTGACCCGATGCGTAATTCTTAACATTTTTTTGTCTGGTTTTAACATTTTTTTTGTCTGGTTTGTTATCTGAGAATTGGCGGGTAAACCGACTTTTGATTTATATGAACTTGGATAAAATCTTTTCGGGCGGGAAAAAGAAGACAAACTTCTCGATTTCAGTGAATTAGGAGCGTGAAAATTTTCTAAACGGATTGAAAAAGTGGCGCGAACACCCAACTGATTTTTATTGTAACCCCCGTTGTAACCATTAAAGAAGTAGTATTAAGGGGGAGGGGGAATTCGCGCAGCTGAAAATATGAAGAGTTCAATGTTTTATAAGATATAGCGCCTAATGTAAAAGCAGATTTTGGCGGGAAAGTGTATAATACGCAGAACTTTGATAAATATTGGCTTATATGACCAAGATAAAAAAATAAAATTGTTACTATGAAAAGCGCTTTCCTGTCCAAATACAGTTTAAGCAGTTTTGGTTATTTTTTCCTCGAAAGGAATGGACGTACAAATTTATAATTTTGGCGGTAAGCGACGAAAGTTAGAGCTTCGAGTCAGATCGAGAGAGGAAAGGGGCTACTAAAGTTGAAATGATTTTAAAAAAGAAGAAAATTAAACAATATCATAGCCGCGGTGAAACGAAAAGTTAATTATTTAGGATTTCGTAAGAATTCTACAGAACACAATATGTAAATAACTATCAAACGCACACGATATGAAAGCGCTGCAAAGGTCGAAGTGAGCGCAAACAAGTTGATATACGGTTTCTCGTGTTCGCGCGGCGCAAGGGGTGTACTCCAGAGATTTTTCAACAAGATATTATAGTTATCTAGTACGATTCTACAGTATCTGCAACCATGAAGTAACATTACTGAAACTCAGAAAAACTGATGTACACATGTAAATAAGTGTAACCTTTGCTTGATCACTTCTTAAAGTTTTCTCTGGTCGGTAAGCTAGCGTTACTCAGATGTATCCCTCAAAGCTGACAGTAAAAGCCAACTCGAGTTCTTTGTTTGTAGTCGTATACGATAGTAGTCATGATCAGGAATGCTATCTGTTGAATATTTCATATCAAGAAATACAGTCCAGATTTTCAAAATTGTGTTTCTGAACCATTCGATTACAGAAGGGAGTAAGATAACAACTTCAAACCATAGTCCTTACTTTTATAGCGATAAAACAATGCTTCGATCAGAATGAATTCCAAAATGGTACATCTATGTATGTACAACCAAAATATATATCTAAAACATTTTCACTTCATTCCGTTGAAACGATTTCATTGTAGAGGTAAATTAAAACCACCGTTTTATGCGATCCTACTTGGTCAGCAATTCTAAATAATTTCCTTGAAAGTTTCCCGGAATTACAATTGGCCTTTGGCCTATATAGTACTATAGGCCTGTTTTGTCTTAATAATAGCCAAGTAGTCATAACAGTATAATATTGCAGGAAATAGATATCCAGGGAAATATCCTTCGAAAATTCGGCGTCCCAGTTTTTCCCGCCAAAAAATTATCTCGTCGGAGCGCGTGAATTTTCCCTTTCCAGTGAGTGAATGCTAAGATTCTAAAAATACACAGTTACTTGAAAACTTTCTTCCTTACTTCCTTGCTTCCTTGCTTCCTTGCTTCCTTGCTTCCTTGCTTCCTTCCTCCCCACCCTCCAAGATGCCATTAAAAAAAAAAAAAAAACGAAAAGGAACCAAACAAATAATTGAATGGTCAAATATATGAATAAAGGTAAGGTTTTTTTCCTTTATACCGTAAACGATTGAAAATATAAAACTATGAAAATGATTTTGATGATTTCCAGATTTCCAAGTAATGATTGCATCATTTCCACGGATCAGTAATCTTGAGCCAGCCGCACGTGGTATCTACTGGTCAGCAGTAATCCCCATTCTTCACTTTCCTTTTACTCCATATGTTGATTGTTGTAAATCAAATCTTGAAATCCACTTTAAAATCCAACTTTTTATCAAAGATCTACGGCCTAGCAAGTCTTACTACCATGGCAGATCGTGTCTCTCTCTTCCAGACCATTGGTCTCAGCCAACAGAAGGCTAAAGAGACGACCAAGAACGAAGCTCTCTCACAGAAGTTGGAGTCAATAGTTTTACAGGTAAAAGTTGAAAATGAAGATTTTTTTCCTGTTCTTCTTAAAGATCTTGTATCATTCTCTGTTCTTTCTTCTATCCAGATATACGCCTTGTTTTTAGTTTCAATTGTTCATGAATTTTATTCGTTCCACGATTGATTTTTGGATCCCGGAAATTCTTTATGAAGAACACATTGTTTATAAGATCCTTTCCCATCATCTTACGTTTATATATAAGCGAGCTTACTCGGCTAGTCTATTATTTTTCAAATCTCCTATGTTGTATAAATCGCAGCCAGACAGACTTAGAAAGACAGACCTAGTATAGGTCAGATTACTGTACACATTATTGTACTTTTAATGATGAAATTGGTAGCAATATATATTTATGATGAAATGGCCTCCGTCCAGTATCAAAGAGCTCGAGGGGGGTCGGACGGAGGAGGATGTAGACTTTAAGGGATATATTAATTTGAATACGAGATGAAGACAATCTAAGTTTTTTCGATGACCTAAATATGTGTATGGGTGTGGATTATTTAATAATTATTCGCTGAAGTGAATACTGGGGAATACCATAGCGCAAGTCTTCAAGCTGCGAGATAAATATTCCCTGATATTCACTGAGCCTTAGGTGAATAATAATGAAAGAAAAGGGTTTTTTTCCAAATATTATTTATCTATGCAACTTCAACAAAAAAGCGCTCACCTTCACTGTTATATTCAACTGTAGGTGAATATAGCAACATAATTAAGGCGTAAATTGTGACCAATGAGTGTGCTGGATTTCTTTTATTCACTTGTGTAAAAATATTGATAATAATTATTGCAGATTTTAATAAGCTGATAAAAGTCTTTGAATCTCATATGCTCTAAATGGTGGTCAAACACTTCATGTCCACCATGTGCTGTCAAATATTCTATCAAAAGCTTGTGATTCAGCTGATATAAAAGGCATCCATAAGAGACAGATGTGAAGTGAAACCAACAATAATGCTATACACCTATTTCATAAAATGTTGTCATCAACAAATTAACGCAATAGGCCATACAGTAGGTCACTCTGAGATAGAAATGGTTTCGTCAACTAGAAAAGAACATAAAATCAGTCTCAACACTAAGATCAATGTTCTTGACGACTATAAGAAACAGAAACAATCAAAGTCAATCCAGCTATTCTTGGATCTTGGAATGACCTATCTCCTATCGCTTTTTGCCTATTGCCTTTGGAGATGACAAAGTTTGAAATAAGTGTATGTATTTTTTGAAATAAGTTTATGTATGTTCTATGTTGAAGATTAGTGATAGATATCTTTACTCAATGGACTTATATTACTTTAATATTAGATTTATTTATCTACATTTTTCTTTTCTTTTAAGGCCCAAAAGAAAATGGGTACCAGTGATCCAGACAAACAATCAGGGACCATGCTTTACTTACTGGCATCCAGCAGTTTGAAAGATGAAAGCCGACTTTCCTTTCTTGTGGACTATATCAGTAACAGGAAACTTGGTTCATCAGCTCAATTAAACGGTAAAAAACGAACTTTAATTTCAATTGGCACATCATATTTGATATAGCTCAAAATGGCTACAGTTAACAGCTATGAATAGACCCATCTCAAAATTCAATACAAAAGAAGTTCTACAAATTCGTTTGAGAAAGTGTGATTTCTTTTCATTTTATTTATTTATTCTAAATTTTATTTATTTTTATTTTCATTTTTGCCTTGTATCCAACAACGTTTTGAGAAGGGTCCAATTGCTATATAATAGACCCTTTTCAAGTTCCAAATTACCACTGTGTTTATTGATACAGACTCATTTACTCAGGCTTAGCCTCGATTTTGTGAAGAATATTCACGTGTTCCATCAGTCAAGGTCCGTCAAGTTTCAAAGTGTTAGTATTGTTGAAGTTGTGCATTCTTTACTTTACCGTTGGTATTTGTGAATATTTAGACACTGATTCGAGGCTAAGCCTGAGTAAATGAGTCTGTAATCAAGAAAGACAGCGGCATTTTGGAACTCGAAACTGGATTATTTAGTTTCCCAGTCATTTAAAAAACTGCTCTACATAATTTTAGCCACACTTTAAGGAGTACTTTCATATTGAGAGAGTCCGAAATCCATTTCTGAATATATTAGATATTTGAATGTAAATTTAATTATCATAGAGATGTATATGTAATGTATTATATTTCATGATTGACTGTTTCAGCTGGGATTGAATTTTTGACCAAGACAAACCCTATTGGAGTCATAAAGAAAGCTGACTTTGAAGCACAATGTGGCGTTGGCATAGAAATCACACCAGAACAGATTGAGGAGTGTGTAAGTTGATCTATGTGTTGATGATGTTTTGGGTACAAGAGATTTGTTTAGTCTGCCTTAGGATGGCATACTTGACTTTATACCTTAATGGTGTTAAACTCTAAAGCCTTGTTCACACGAGTGTTGTAAGCATCGATGATGCACATTACAATGGCTTACAACAACTACGATTTTTTGATTCCCACTGGGTTTTAATGCTGGTTACGATTGCAAACTTATGATTACGATTACAACAGTACAGCTAGTAGTGAGAACAAGTTTTAAAGCACTGCAAATGACTAATATATGGTAGTAAATATTATTTTTAGTGAACAATATGGCCCCAAAATCAGAGTTGATTCAGTACATCGCACACATAATTATGCAAAATGGAAAATAGTGCACTTCGGAAACAGATTCTGTTTGATAGTACAACATCAAGGACATTATGATGGGCTAGGACTGCATTGACACCCAACAGGCTAACACCCAACAGACTTTATGCGACTGTTGGACACAATATTCCCAACCATACCCAGACAGAAGCGCCCTCATGAGGCCAGAAAAATCCCAAATGGGAAAAAATGACGACGATGATGATGATGAAACAAGATGGAGATTAAGAAATTACTATTCTAGTAAGAGTCTAGCTCTTCATGTATTGTATGTAATTTAATTAGTAAATGTTAGAAAAAAATGTATATCAGTAACATATTTTTATCTGAACTCAACAGATAGAGTCAATAATCAATGAATATAAGGAAGAGATAGTTGAAAAAAGATATCAGTTCAATACAGGTCTCATCATGGGTAGGTATACCTTAATTGGTGTTACCACTATTTTCATTGGCTGCGGACTGATTTAACAACAGTCACAACAGGAATATCAGGGCAAGTACTGCCATTGATCAGAGTATGTTAAGGTACCAAACAATTTATTTGAATGACGGCAGTGTTCTGCCTGATTTCCCTGTTGTGACTGATGCATCAATCAGTGCAATAAGTGTTATGTAATACAATAGATCGGGTTTCACATAGTCAATTGTAGACGCACATGCTCTGGCATTAAAGACATCACCTAAGCTATCTCTGCCTCGTATATTTTCACTTTATTCTTATAATATCATTACAATAAGCATTCAAAACAGTGGTAAATGTTTAAAGATTTAAGAAATGTTTGTTTGCAGAAAAGGGTCATGTATATTCAACCTTTTCTTCATAGAGGGAGCTTAGACAAATTGAAGCTCGTAGGGAGTGAGTGAGAGAGTAAATAATTTTTTGACCCGCCAGCATGAGAAAGTGGTTCAGTTGAACACCATAGATGAACCACTCAACAATTGTCAAATAGCCAGATTGCATGTATTACTTATTAAATATTGATTTTTTTCCTTAAAGGCAAAGCCAGACAGAAGCTAAAGTGGGCTGATGGAAAAGCTCTAAAGAGTGAAATGGATATGCAGGTAATTGGCATGACTGAAGCAAGTGAATGATGTGTTTCATTAATTCCTTGAAGCATCTTGGCAATAGAGTGGCAGGTAGTTGATCCTAGTAGCTTAGTCCTGAATAACAGGGCTTAAAATATCAGCAAGTCATTACATGGACAATCCCTAAAAGAATTGCAACTTGTCCTTTCAAATCTTTGCCTTGCCAGTCATTTTGAGCAGTAAAGTCGAGCCAGAAATGAGGTATGACACTGAACTAAAACAAATTTGGCTGCTGCCTTTGTAACTACATCTACAAAATGGTTAGACTTTAAAGTTTAATGACAGTGCTTTAAATATAGTTGGCACCATCTCTCCATACTTCACAGATTACCTTTCCACCTTCATAAGAACCACTCTCAATAATGGTATTGTATGAGAGTGAGGGCAGTCAGAATGATGTTATTCTTTTCACAGATTTTAGATTTACTTGGACCAAAAACTGAAGCTGATTCAAAAAAACCTGCTAAGGAAAAGGTAAATTAATATAACCTGACAAAGTAGAAATTAAACCACTTTGTCTTTGCATAGTTAATTACTGCTATATTCATAAACATCTGAACTTGGTAGCTGCGAGCTGCACACTGAAATTTGGTTTTTCCTGCCTTCAATCGAAACTAATCAATCGGTACCTCCCATATTTTTGACTAGTGGCAGTGAAAAACCAAATCGCAACCACAGAGTTTGCATGTTTATAAAGATAGCAGTAACTATGTCTGTGGAAAATGAGACCAGCTTTATAATAATATACTGACAATGGAAATTGCATGTTTTCCTTACAAAGGGAGGGGCGTAGGTGGGTAACTCAAATTTCTAATAATTGTGACATGACTTTAATTTTAAATCTCTACTATTTCTAAATCTGGAACATTAAGAAGATCTGAAAAATACAGACTTTTTTTCTTCAAATTTTTCATATTCCAGGATCCCAAGCAAAGTAAAGGACAGAAGAAGAAGGGAGGGAGTTCAGAGAACAACAGTGCTGCAGGTACAGTATAATTACAGTTTTGTCCTTTTTTTTCAATAGAATAATTTTGCATTCTCAGCTGCATAATTTTTTTAAACATACCTGATTGCAAAGCCACTTTTGATTTCAAAACATAAAGTTCTAATTATTACCAATAGTCAGGATGGATAACTTTTAAATGATAAATTAATGTGATAAGGTCAGTTATAAACTCCTTTCAAATGTATGGCAGATCTATCCTGCTTGGCATAAAACATTCAAATCTTAAAGACAAATAAAATGGTACATGGGAAATTAAGTTTTTCCAATTAGATATGTTTTTTCCACAGAGGGTGGATCCAGGAATTTGTTAGGGAGGTGTCCCAAATGAAGCGTATATATGTACATATAGATATTATGCATCCCTTACCGATGTCTGTTGCCTGCTGGACACCCCCTGGATCTGCTTCTAGCCACAATCAACATATATCAAATTTCATGGGTTTATTTTACAGTTGTTAATGGTGATGTCCAGGATGACAAAGGGTTGACTGGAGAGTTTGCAAGGTTCCATAAACCTGGTGAAAACTACAAGACCCCAAACTATGTGATCACACCAAAGACAATGCAGCTGATGAAGGAGCATCTTGAGAGAACAGGAGGCAGGGTGTGTATGTCTGTAAGGGGGGTGGGAGAGGGGGGTCTTATAGGTAGCGTAGCAATATTGACTTGCCTCTCACCTCTGGTCTTGGATTTGATTCTTTGACTCTACATCATTTGTGACTCGGGAGGGGGGGTACTACCACCCCAACTTGGGTAGGGGTGTGCCGCCAGGACCTCAAAACCCTGACCYTATCCCAGACCTAAAATTTTGATTTTACATACCCTACCCCAGACTAAAACTAAGAGTTAAACACCCCTCCCAGACTAAACCAGTTAGTCAATAGCTTGCAATCAATTTTTATTAACGTTTCAATTGTTTTTTTGCTGTCAGAAAGTGTAACCTATTCGCCAGACAAAAACGACCAAATCGTTAACCCTATCCCAGACTAAAATGATACCCTATCCCAGACAAAATGTCAAAAAATGATACCCTACCCCAGACCCTAAAGCCGAAAAACCATACCCTTTAGTATGGCACATACCCGTATAGCAAATATAGGGGAGTACCCCCCCTGGATTTGTGAGTAGGGATTGTTAAGGTGTCCTCCCTTGATTCAAGGGTTTTTTTCAATATGCAGGTTCTTCTTATTTTCCTAACTCTGCAAAACCACTCTAAATTTGAATTTGATCCTTGAGTTAGTCGTGCCTGATGACACCATTACTTACCCTGACTTTGGGGTGACATTTCCTTAGATTATAAATTGTCATTCTTCTTATCCCAAGGTCCTAACCAGATTCCCACCAGAACCAAATGGTATCTTACATATTGGTCATGCCAAGGCTATCAATGTGGATTTTGGTTACGCCAAGGTTAGATGCAATTATTAATACAGTAGATCATCTTCATCTTAGAATTGAAATGGGCCACAATTTTGGCCACTTTTCTTGTGCTAATATTATTCTCTGGAAACAAATTCAGCTATCTTTACATTTACATATATTAAAAGTCCAATAATGACTTGCAATTTTGGCCAACATTTGAAAAATAATTTATGATGAGTTTTATAATTATTGAAATAGGCACATGATGGCTTCTGCTATTTGAGATATGATGACACGAATCCAGAAAAAGAAGAAGAAAAGTTCTTCACAGGAATCCTTGAAATGGTTGAATGGCTTGGTGAGTTTACTGGTTGACCCATCAAAAACATATGAACTGTCAATGCTGTAGGCCGTTTGCAGCATATTGTAAGTTTACTGGTTGACCCATCAAAAACGTATGAACTGTCAATGCTGTAGACCGTTTGCAGCATATTGTAAGAGTAGCTGAATTCTGAGAACAAAACAGGGGGATTTTACTCTTGTTGGATTAAAAGTCATTGTATTTACTGTTCTCCCAATTGATCAGCTACTCTGGTAATAATCATTATCAGAGAAAAAAGAAAAAGAAAAAGAAAAAGCATCTTTACAGTGAAACTGATCAGGGTTATTTACAACAACCTTACATTTGGTCAAAATGTGGACATGTGAAAGCGTACTTAATCATCATGTAAAAAGGCCACTTTGCATGCTTGAGGGTGGGTCATCCCATCTCCTTCTTCCTTCTCAATGTCAATTAAAGTGTTTCCATGACACTGTCAGAAACACAAAGTTTTCAAGTGCATGGCTATGGAATGTCATGGAAACGATTTGATTGACATCCACCAAAACAGAACTGATGTTTCTGTGTGTGTGAAAAGCACTGCAAGACAAAGTATTAATCTCATAAAATGGCTTCTTTATACCAAAATCTTTTTTTTCCTTTAGGATTTAAACCTTGGAAGATTACTCATGCTTCTGATAACTTTGGCAAGTTGTATGAGTATGCTGTCGAGCTCATTAAAAGGTAAAACTTTGAATTTTTTTTTGCAACATGAAATTATTATCTGGGTCAATGAAGAATATGAGGACTAGCATACTTGTTTCCTGCCGACTGAAGAATCTGGATTGCATTTCCATAACTTAACAACGTTCTGATAAAGGTTTTCGTATAAGTAGGAATTAAACGTACGGTACTGACTTACAGCAAATACAGGATACGACATGTCGTAACATTGAAATGGCTTCCCATCCATACAAATGGTTATCATAAGAGTGGAAAACATACGGTACTGATTCAGAGCACATACACGGTACGACATTAACTCTAACATTGAATTGCTTCCCATAAAAATGGTTATCGTATGAGTAAGATATGTATGGCACTGACGTACAGTACGTACATGATACGACATGCTTTAACACTGAAATGGCTTCTCATAAGAATGGTTATTGTATGAGCAGGAAACATACGGCAATGACTTACAGTACGTACACAGCGTGACATGCAGTAACATTGAAATAGCTTCCCATGAGAATGGTTTTCGTATGAGTGAGAAACATATGGAACTGACTTACGGCACCCACAGGGCACGACTTGCTGTAACACTGAAATAGCTTCCCAAAAAATTAGTTATCACATAAGTGGGAAAGATACGGTATTGACTTGCAGCACATACACAGTACAAAACACACGCACCATAAAATTGTAAGGGCTTGCCATACGAATGGGAATCATATGAGTGAGAAACATACTGTACTGACCTTGCAATCATCAGATCAATATTATTGTAACACCGCTTTTTGTTTTTTTTGCTTTGTATCAACAGAGATCTTGCTTATGTGTGCCACCAACAGTACGAAGAAATCAAAGGCTACAACCCGCCACCAAGCCCATGGCGAGATCGGCCGGTGGAGGAATCCCTAGCACTATTTGAGGTAAGGAGTTGGTCTGAACAGCACTTCCTTTATTTAATAAAATACGTATATTTACGCTCTGCATATCCATTAGGGAAAAAAATTATTTGACTTTATTTGATGTTTTTATCATGTTGCAGGATATGAAGAAGGGTAAAATTGATGAAGGCAAGGTAATATGATGAAAATATTACGGATCTTTTGTACTCCATTTCTCCGTTCCTTCCTTGCTTGCTTGCTTGCTTGCTTGCTTGCTTGCTTGCTTGCTTGCTTGCTTGCTTGCTTGCTTGCTTGCTTNCTTGCTTGCTTGCTTGCTTGCTTGCTTGCTTCCTTCCTTCCTTGCTTGCTTGCTACCTTGCTTCCTTCTTTCCTTCCTTCCTTTAGTTTTGTTTATTAATTTCCTTATTCATTCACTCATCGTTAAAGCATCAACCAATATTACAAGATTTCTGTTTTTCTATTTTCCTCATTTATTCATTCATTAATTTTTCATTTCATTCTAACTTTTTGATGCACCTTCACTGATTTTTCAATCATTATTCATTTAGTAAATAACCTTTTCCCCCCCAGGCGACCCTCAGAATGAAGACAACCCTAGAGGATGGTAAAGTTGACCCTGTTGCCTATAGAATCAAATTCAGTCCTCACCATCGAACTGGAGATGAATGGTATTTACATTTGTCTTAACATTTAATGCCAGTTCTGTTCATTCCTTCATTATTCAAGGGTCATATTATAGTGTCACAGGGCTTGAAATAGAAAACTTTTTTAGCCTGCCATAGTAAAGGAGCATAGTAAAATAATGGAGGTCATTCCAGTAAATTTTGCATGCCATTTTATTATTCATTTGGCAGCGCAGCCTTATTTTCTCCTGCCAAACCTGAAATTTGGCCTGTCATTTGGCCATTGGCAGGCTGCTATTTCGAACCCTGAGTCAGTCGGTACTCACCTCTAATCTGTAGGGTCTCGAATTCCACTCCTGCACACTGTATCATATGTGATCAGAGTTTATTAGGTCTCTTGTTTGATTCGAGGCAGTCTCAGTCAGGGTTCCTTGGTTTTCTTTCCTCTGAAAAAATAACAAACTAAATTCATGTTACTTGCGCCCTTACTTGATCAAGCCAGAGGTTGGTTTTAAGTTTTGTTAAACAGCTTTCCTGATTGCCTTGCGTCAAACAAGATTTCTGGTTTCTGTGGAATCGTACAACTTGTCGTCGATCAAAGCTTTAATCAAAGCTTTTCCATGACATGGCAGGAAAAACAAAGTTGTCAAGGGCACGTGACTATGGAATGTCTAGAAAACTCCTTGAATGATGTCCACCAAAACCTATTACGTCGCGACAACCAATCAGCGCATGCTATTCAGAATGACTGCAAGTCCTCCTCTTGTTAAAGGAAAGGCAATTTTATTAGTAAGAGAATTCATGATTTGATGCTTTATTTCTACTTGTTTTACTTCCAGGTGTATTTATCCTACCTATGACTTCACCCATTGTCTGTGTGATTCTATTGAGGACATTACTCACTCACTCTGCACTAAAGAATTCCAATCCAGGTACTGCTATATATTATATCATCTACCACTCGGACCTTATGTGCAAAAAAAGGTAAAAAGGTAAAAAAAAGGTAATTTATTTTACCTCGATAACGCGGGGAGTGGTTGCCCATTTCTCCCAAGCCAGGGGCTCATGTTTATAGCACTCGATGGTGCGGCCTCTACCCCCCTCTTACTATCAGTGCTCCTTTTTACGGGCATTTAAAGCTACACAGAACAGAGAGAAGTCGAAACAGACGTGGAGTTCCTGAGGATCAAACCATGGATCTCTAGCTCTGAAGGCCGTGCACTAACAAACTGAGCTTCGCCTGCAAACACAAATTCGTGTATGCTACCCGACATGCTTTTTCTGACTTTTCTCTTGTGTTCTGCCAATCCTTGTGTACTTTTTAATTACACATTGAGCAAGAACAATTGTCTAAGGGCATGAATAAAGTTTGAGAAAACTTGAAAGAATATTTAATTTCTCACATTAATTGTCCTCTTTTACAGACGTTCCTCATACTACTGGCTGTGTAATTCCCTTGATATCTACTGTCCTGTCCAGTGGGAGTATGGCAGACTTAATCTTGGTTATACAGTGGTATCCAAAAGAAAGATTGCCAAACTTATCAACGAAGGAATTGTCAGGTAATGCTCTCTCAAAAAGAGGGAGAGAGGTGGGGGCTTGCACATGTCGCTTTAAATTGAAAAACAAAATATGCTCATTGCAAACCTCTGTCGTTTGTCTATGTCCTACCGTCTTCAAACCTATCCAAATGGCTACCCTGTACGCACCTTCGATATTGGATTTAGCTGTAAGAAAAAGACAGTTTTGTCAATGCTAACTGTTTCAGATAGTCAAAAGAGGTGCAGTAGTCAGATACAAATACTTTGGTTGTGACTTTTTAGGGACTGGGATGATCCAAGGTTGTTCACCCTGACAGCTTTGAGAAGACGTGGATTTCCCGCAGAAGCCATCAACAAATTCTGCGATAAGGTAAAAATTTTAAAAGTTTAGTAGTACAAAATCGTATAGAATTTGCTGTCACAATAAAAAGATTTTGATGGACGTCAATAAGTGATTCCACAAAGACACAGACTCGTACCTAGTTGCTTCTCTTACAGTGCAGTTGATCTTGTGCTGTGGTTGATGAGAAGGATGTAGTGAGTTTGCAGTTATCAGTGTATCTCACTTATCTCTAAAAGACTTTGCACGCATTAATAAAAACGTGAGTGACAACTGGGTATGAGTCTGCAGAAGGCAGGTGCCTTGAATACAATGCTGGTTCTTCGACATTCAGCTACTGTATAGAGCTTACTGATTTTAACGTATTATTCATCTGGACCTGGTTGCACAAGGGGTGGATAGCGCTATCCGACAGATAAATCTCATCCAGTGGATAAATTTATTGGATAACAGCATCAACTTATCCACTGGATAAGGATATTTTCTTTGGATAGCGCCATCCGCTTTTCATACAACCAGCCCCCTACTACAAATTACATTTGGTTTCCTAACTTTTGATAAACTTTATCCTTTTGCTGCTGTTGTTCTTCAGGTTGGCGTAACCATGGCTCAGACCATGATTGAACCGCAAATGTTAGAAGCTTGTGTGAGAGATGAGCTCAACCTTACTGCTACAAGGTGTGTTTATCCACAAGATGTAATGAAACTACATCTCGTTTATGCATTCTTCTTCATTGTTTCGTTTTTTATCATATTGCGGCAATCTTATTACTACAAGGTGTGTTTATCCACAATATGTAATGAAACTACATCTTTATGCATTCTTCTTCATTGTTTCGTTTTTTATATTGCGGCAATCGGAAACGAACTGCGCAATTTCGGTACGGTAAATTGGTTCTTTACAGTCACCGTATCTACACGTTGATTGGATACTTAATTACAAAGTAACTGAGCTAAAACATGTGCTTGAAATGTTATTTCAGATGAGAGTATCTAAATGTATCTAAGCTGCTCATGTCATTTTTTCTGCACAAGGAGAATTTGCACTTTTATACGAAAAATACAACAGTTTTTTGTTAATTTTTGCACTGGTTTTTTTTTTTTTGTGAAAACCATTTTAGTGTAGACCATGTGGCATGCACTTGTTCTGTGTGGCAGTACACCATTTGTTTTATTACTAATATAAGATAAACAGTCTTGTGAAAAACGGATATACTCTTCTGATGATTGTTTCAGAGTATGACTTCCAAGTGTTCTGTCTGGAAAAATATGTTAATCTCATGTGCTGCAATAAATTCCATCAAAAGAAAATGAACTATGCCTAGTCATTTCCTCTAAGTTCCATAGATGTCATCATTCCATCATAATTATTACCTTTCTGCAGCATTTGCAACCAGTGATTTCATTGTGGCTGTCACATTGCAATGGTATTGTTGAGGCATAATTCCAAGGCAAGAGCCAATCTTAGAGTAATGCATTCTTTGTATATCTGTAAGCTGATGTTTTCTTTTTCTTTGCAGAGTCATGGCTGTTCTTGATCCTTTGAAAGTCATCATCAAAAATTTCCCATCTGAGAAAGTAAGAGAAAAAGATAACAAACAGTTCCCCTTGAATACCACCTGACAGTATTTTCATTGCTTAACACTGATAAAATAAAATAACACGTGACAGTTGCAACTGATAAAATTATGGTCCCCTATTTAAACGTCTCTGAATGAGACCAGACTGCCTCTTTATGTGGTCATCCAAGCTATGACAAAGGCCTAACCACTTTTCCAGATACTTTCAGAGCAAAAGCAGCACATCTACTTGGAAATTAATTTATAAGATTCTAAGTTTTGGTCCAACCAAGGTTATGAACCCAGGACCTTTCATACAAATGTCTGATGCCCAACCAACTGAGCCAGCTTAACCAAAAATCAAAAAATTACAACACATACGTTAACACATACACCTAATTGAAAAAACGTTGTCCGGTTCAAAAAAAGTTACATCATACATTTTTACATGTCTATATGCAAATATAATACACACTTTGGAGTACCCAAAATCCTTTTCGGTCTTAGCTTCGATGATATGACCTTCTCAAACCCGACAACATTTTTTCAATTAGGTGTATATGTGAGGATGAACCTGTCGATCAGTGTGCAGCAATGGAAAAAGTCCTAGTCTAATCACATTTGCCTTATACTTTTTAGGCTTTCATGTGAGCTTTAAATATCAGTAATGCTTATACATGCACACTTTAGTAATCTCTTTACCTAAATCTAGACAATGTTCATTGAAGTACCAAACAATCCAATGGACCAGAGCAAAGGAACTCATAAAGTTCCCTTTGAGAAGGTTATCTACATTGAGAACAGTGACTTTAAGGAGGTAAGTTCTCACTATTCATGTTAATGATAATGATTTATTTTTTATATAACTCCCTTTCTTAAAGTAGATATAATCAAAGGTGCTTTATACATTGAGTTGTTAATGTCAGATTGTTTTTCATGCAATTTACAAACATAAGAGATGGTTAGTAGTATGAGATGAAGGCACTGAGGGTGGTCACTGCCAGGGTTTCTTTACGTCCTCAGTGGTTCTTTTACGTCCCTCCGATATTGGATGGGACCACCATTTAAAGTGGTCATCTGAGCCACTCGAAAGTCTAACCATTTGTAGATGTAATTACACAGGCAGCACTTTCTCCACAGTTATTTTAAGACAATGAGTGTTGGTCCGACTGGGACTTGAACCACAACCTCCTGCACAAAAGTCTAATGCTGAACCAACTGAGCCAACCAGTTGGCAGTTATCCATTTTTGAACTATGCATCCTGATGTTCATCATCTTTGGACTGTGCATCCTGAGTAATCTTGTAATCTTATCAATGTTATTGATTTAAGTCTGCAGAACAGGATTTCCGTCGCTTGACTCCCAACCAGACAGTTGGACTGAGACATGCTGGATACGTCATCAAAATAGCAAAAATCAATAAGGTAAATTTAAAGCTCATCTTCATCTCTGTTATCTAATCTGGAAATAACAAAATTTTGCTTACTGAGGCAAACAAGCGGTGAAGACTGGAGCAACAAGGGGTTTCGGGGGCATGCACCCTCGTAAAGTTTTGAAATTGAGACACTTTTTAAAATTTTACCAAGGCAACTACTTGCCTCATTGTGGCTACAGCCCTAGATTGAAGTTAGTTTGACCAAGAAAATCCATATTAAAGTTGAATGTGTAGTTCCAAATATTATCCATACCCCCGTCACAGAGGATTTTTTTAAGACACCCCCCTACCCCCCAGAAATTCCAATGTTCTTCCATACAAACTCTGTAATTTTTGTTCTTTCTCTGACCCCCTACTCATCGGAAATTCCAAATTCCTCCTTGGGGTGGGTATGGATGATTTCTGGAACTACACAATGCTAATATGGTGATTCTTCTGATTTACAGACTTCTTTTGTCACTAGTGTGTTGACCAGTGGTGACTTCAAAGTGTTTTTAATATTTAAGTCTTCTTTATATTCATAATTCAAATAAATGATGTCTTCTAGAATTCTAATGGTGAGACAACTGACTTGGAGGTAACATGTGAACCAGCGGGTACTGCTGCCAAACCAAAGGCTTTTATTCACTGGGTGTCTTCTCCAATCTCTTGTGAAGTCAGGCTTTATGATAGACTGTAAGTACTAGCTAAGGAAAACTTGAAAAAAAAAATCCAAAGATAACGAGATCCACTTTCATCATTATACATCTCTTAAACTTCCACCAAAATTATTTGTATTCCAGATGTCTGGGCTTTTTTTAGGCCCCCATCAATTAAATTTAACATTTTGTACTCTGCATTCGTTCTAGTTTCTACCACAAATTTCCTGAAGATCCAGAAGTTGTTCCTGGTGGTTTTATTACTGATTGTAATAAGGTGTGTTGTTCATCCATATTTTGATATTGTTTCCAGTTGAAGGGGGAGGGGTGGGGTAAAAGAAAGATTGGCATTTAGGATGATATAGAATGATGGCAAAAATATATTAACTCATGTCCCATGGAATTCACTTATTCTTGTATTTTGAAGTGCATATCACCCTTCGTTCTCAATTAGATTTTAACATTGAACTTAAAAACTCTTTCTTCATTCAAATGATGTACAAAAACTCAACCAGATCAGATAATCAATAGATACCAAGTGTAATTGGTATGTGAGAGTCTAAAAAGGGCCAAAATTTTCGTATTTGAGTATGGTAAACATTCCAGGTGTGAGGGTAAGTCTGATATCAAACCTCACTTCTCAGGCCATAGACACACTGCTATTATAGACTTGGTTATAATGAATTTGGTTTGATGGTGATTTTGTCATTCCCTCATTCAGGACTCACTTCATGTCAACACCAAAGCATTGGTTGATGTGACAGCAAAAGCTGCCCCTGTTTATACGAAATTTCAGTTTGAAAGGCAGGGCTATTTCTGTGTTGATAAAGATTCTACAAAAGACAAGGTAAGCTTTCTTCTTTTAAAATATGTCATTCTTATCCAACCCAATATATCCCCATTTTGATCAATTCATCCATGTCTCATCTACATCCAACCATCCAACCAACCAGCCCCATCATCTATCCAACTATCTATCCTACAAACTCTTTCATCTATCCATCCATCTCTCCATCTACATTTATTTCATTGGCAGATTTAGATGTGGGCCAAAGGGACAGCAACCCCTTTTATTTTGGTTAATTATATAGGTTCCTCTAATGCTGAAGTTTTCTGGTCCCACCCTTCTCCGATTTCTGGATCCGCCCTAGCATTTATCAATCCATCCAATCAAAACTTGTTATCGCTTATCACCACCACAAGTACAGCAGTGGCGCAGCTCAACTGGGTCTTACTGAATGCATGTGAAGGTGCCTCTGGCAGCCGCTATACAGTCCATGTATTACCCCGGAGCACAGCTCTAACCAGTTTGAATTAGTTATGGTTGATTTTGAGACGAGGAAGGAAAACCGGAGGACCAGAAAAACCCCTATCAAGCCATGCATCCATCTGCCCCTCCTGCCATCCAAATCTCTCATTCATCCATCCTGTCACCCATTCCATTTCCATCAACTCACGTGACGTTAACCAGCATTTCCTTCATATTTGCAGCTTGTCTTCAATAGGACTCTACCACTGAAGGAAGATTCTGGGAAGAATTGATTGCTAATTAATGTAATAATCTTGACAGCAAAGGGAGCTTATCATGTACCATGTGCACACTATTGAATGATAAGGACTTATGTTGTTTTCTAATAACAAGAATATTTCATTAAATATCTGTAAAATCTTATATATCATTCAATTTCTTTAGGTGGTAATAGGTATTGCAGACGGGGCTCTGGCAGTGCATGCATGGGCCAGCAATCCTATCACAAACTATTTTTTGCTACGGAAACTAAATCGTTCCAACGTGCCTGACAGCCATAAAGGATAATGATGATTCAATGTCTTCCATAGATTTCTGGTAATTTATGTAGTTAAACTTTGCAGCTTGTGTCGTGTCAATGAGGAAAACTTGGAGCAGCTCTTAGACCATACATGAAGACTCTAGCATAGTGGAGAAGAAAGGGCTCAAAAATTTGACCTCATTTCTGTTAGTGTCTCTTCAATAGGTAATTCTTCCAAAGTGTTCTGTAGAATAGTCCTGTTCCAGGGTTAATCTTCTCCCCCCCCCCCCTCCCCCCTACCAATACTTGTGCCCACTACCAACTTGCATTTAGCTTTGGGAACTATATACCAAATTTTCAGTAAGAAAGTACCAAATTTCCCATACTAAAAAATTAATCTTTAGGTTTTGTTTAAGCGTATATACACTATATTTGACATCTGCACTTCAATTTTTAAAAAATCTTTATTTATTCGATTTTTACTAATCAATAAATCAAGTTATTTCCATAGCAACCAACATAAAATGTTTTTGTTATTTTTTTATAAAAATCATTCATTACCATATAAATTTTATCTTTAGGTTTTCCTTCGATAAAGATTTTTTCGTAATAAACTTTTAAATGAGTAAATTTGAAGTAGGTTTGGTAAAATAGGAAAGGTTTTGAGCAAAAGTTGGGATTCTTTGTGTTAATACGACCTCATTTGGTGTTTGTCTTTATGTTCAGCCGGCGTCAACATGCATGTAAACAAAAGCGAAGCAAAATGGCTTTTAGAAATCTAAATATTCAGTAATTAAGCAATGTCTTCCTTCATCCCGGATCCTCGATGAAGGGCTTCTGGGATCCAACGATTTCAGGATAAGAGTTATCAGTGATAGAAAATGCCATTAGGTCGATAAAAAGAGTCCCGTATAACATGAGTACGACCGAACTGTTCGTTCTTGATTGCAGGAATGTACTCATTGATCTTCCAGCCAATCTCCCAAGCACTAGTAATCGGAAATTCATACTTTTCTTCTGGTTTCTTGAGCTTTCTTTTCTGTAGGTAAGCATAGCGACCTTCTCCAAGGGCACTGAACCCTTTGTACAAGACGCTCTTTGTGTTTTTAGACACGGGTCTCATCTCGACCAGAAGTGCGTCTGGATTCTCTTTCGCGGTTTCGCCAAACTGTTTCTTTGATGCTTCTTGGATATCTGTCTTAGATGTTTTCTGCTCGTCATTGTTTAGAGCTGGAAGCTTGATCCCTTCAGCAGATTTGATAACCATTCCTTCTTTTCTGGGCTTTGGAACAAAAGTCGAACGCGAGAATTCTTTCGAATACCGCGTGTGCCACATTAGTCTAACCATGGCTTCTTTCTCGACGGATTCCTTCCAGAAATTCTGTCTCTGGGTATCCATGTTTAATTCTCGTACCATTCTGAGGTATTTTGTTTGCGTTTGGGACTAAAAATACTAAGATTTACAGCTGAAATGTTTACTCTTGTGTTCGTTTCTCTACTGGAATGTGTGACATCTAAATGGCTTTCAACAAACGTTGCTATAGAAACGATTTTTCCTCGAACCACAGGAAGCCCAATCATATTTACTTATCCTTAAAAAATTTCTTAAAAAATATAGATATAAAATATAAATATGGCTTGTTGAATCACAATATAACATTCCTTTAAAACAACCGTTGATAAAAAATATAAAGCAAATCTACCGATCTACAACTGAAATCAGGATAAACTGACCGAGTTCTGGCTTTGAAATAGACATTGGAGAGTTTTAGATTTACGTTCACGGCGAACGTGAAACGTCAGTTGACCAGTAAAAAATTCTTTTAAATTACTGAAAAAGAATCGCAAAAAAGTCCAAGTAGTAGAAAAACAAAAGAGTATTTGCGCTTGGTGAGAAGGTTTGAAAAAGGTAAAGTAAAATACAGGAAAACTATGAAAACGTGGTCACGTTTGCCGTTTGCGGGGAGAAAAAAAAGTCAATCTAAAACTCTCTAGTGTTTGCAATGGCTTTGTTAATCAGAGTCTGAGTCAATAATTACATGACTTTTCTACAGGAACTTTTAGAGCTGTGCCCTGATGTTTTACTGGTTATCGAGGATGGTAAGAAAAATTAACATTTCTTTTGTGCCAACTGCAATACTATTAGTGCATACCATATATATATCCTTGAAAAACTTTGCAAGAAATTGCACAAATTTGCACAAATCAGTAAGCTCAGTAGACCTTAGTAGACCGTAATTTGAACAATTTTGTTGGTTAATTATTTTTCAAGAATATATGCTATGCACTCTGCATCAATTTTTTTCATGTGGGTATTCAGTTATTAATTCATTGCTTATTCTTAGAGAAAACGAATTTCTTATTCTCAGGATCTAAACAGATTAAGATAAACCATGTTATCGAATATTCGTTCAGTTTTTTTTTTTCATTTCAGTCACATGTAGCAATAACCATATATAGATTACAAGTTAAATGATTCCTTTCTTTCCAAATGCATTGTCTATTTTTATATAAGCGACAGATAGCGCCTATTTTCCCATTTGTTTATGTCGAAGAGTTATACAGACACGAGCCAGGTGAGTTAGATATATGCACAGGGTATATTGTTAGTATATGATGCACAGTGTATTTGATATGTTGGATGAGCAGAGTACAGTGAGTATTAAATACCCCGTGCACTCTACATGTATTAGATATACTGCGCACACCAGGTGTGTTAGATGCACAGGGTATATTGTTAGTATATGATGGACAGTGTATTTGATATGTTAGATGAACAGAGCACAGTGAGTATTAAATACCCCGTGCACTCTACATGTATTAGATACACTGCGCACACCAGGTGTGTTAGATGCACGGGGTATATTGTTAGTATATGATGCGCAGTGTATTTGATATGTTAGATGAACAGAGTACAGTGAGTATTAAATACCCCGTGCACTCTACGTGTATC